GAGCCGCAGCTGCTGCGCCCGCCCGCGCCCTCCCGGGGACCTTCTAAGCGCCGCCGGGTCCCGCCGCCTCTCGCCCCGCTGTTAATACCGGCGGCCCGGGAGGGGGGCGCAGCGTGCGCAGCGCAGCCATGGGGACGCTGCTGGCCTTCGTGGTCGGCGCGGCACTGGGTGAGTGCGCGGGGGGCGCGCGCGGCTGGAGGCACAGTTGGGACTCTGGCGGGGCAGCGGGATTCGCGCTCCGGACCCCGGGCTGCGGTGCGAGGGCCGTCCCCCGCCCATCCCCCAAGTCCGCTTTAGAAGTTGTGCGCGCGGGGAACGGGGCTCGAGGGAGGCCGGTGGAGGTGCGGTGGGCAAGAGCGGCCGGGGGCCGGGCTGGCTCGGCCGCGCGGCTGCGGGCGCCCAGCCGGGGGCGAGGAAACGCGGAGTCAGCTGCTCCCGGAGCCCCGCAGGCTGCAATGTGACACCCACTGCCTCGGGAGGGGGTGGGGAGGAAGGCGGCGCCCGGAGACCGGGACGAGAGAGACGGAGAGACAAGGAGAGATGGAGACGAGAGGGAGGGGTCGAGAGAGGACTCAGAGTGCTCCCGAGTGCTCCGCTGAGAGACTGGGGACATAAGGGTACCGTGAGAGACGGACGCAGAGAGATATTGGAGAGAGAGACGGAGAGAGAGTTAAGAGTCTCAGTGATGGAGAGAAAGAAACTTGAGAGAGGCAGAAAGAGATGGAGAGATGCGGGAGAGGGATGGAGACAGAGGGAGAGAATGTGGGGTGGAGGGTAAACACAGAGACGTGGAAAGGTGGAGAGAGACCCGGAGAGGGAGTCTGAGCCTGGAGAGAGGACACGAAGTGGTGGGACCTTCAAGAAACCCAAAAGATGAATAAAGATGGGGCAGACGGAAACAGAGGAACTCAGGGAGACTGAAAGAGGCAACGGGAGAGGCAGACAAGAAGCCCTAAAGATTAAGAGAGGAAGCGATTCAGGGACAAGGAAAAGACCCAGGGCTGGAGCTGAAGAGACACAGTATTAGGTAGTGGGCACTGGGAGGCAAGAAGGAAGTGGCAGGTGTGAAGGACGGACCCAAAGAGACTGGAACCCAGTGGGGGTGCAAAGGCCCTGAGGCAGGAAAGTGCTCTGAGTTTTGAGAGGCTGATAGGAGGTGGGATGGGGATCTGGAGAGGAGGGAGCCTGAGAAGGAGGGGACAGAAGCAGGAGAAGTTGGGGAGGGGGTAGATCACACAGGGGCCTGTGGGACTGGGGAGCAGGGTTGGAGTTTGGGTCTGTACTAGTTCCAGCGCCCACCTCTCCCCCTCCTGTCCCCAGGCCTTCCCTTCTCTCAACCCATTGCTCTTGGGGCTAGCTGGTTTTGCAGACCAATTTAATGGCAAAAGTGACTCTGCCACTTTGATCTTCTAGTGCAGCTGGAAGTCTAGTCCACCACCTAGATGCTTTGGTACCTTGGCCAAGTGACCTTCTGAGGAAGGGGTCCTTGGGTAGCAAAGACTCTGAGTTACTGACAACATTAATGGCCCTATTTACTGGAGCTTTCTGTGTGCTGGGCTCCTTTACCTAACTTATGGAATCTGTCAAAAATCTACTAGAAGCAAAGATGATCATTTATCTCACCTGACAAAGAGGGAAACTGAGGTTCAGAGAAAATGAATGACTTGCAAGGTCATGCCATGAGTGGCAGAGTCAAGCTTGGAGTCTAGTCCTGTCCCATCGTAATCATTTTTTGAGGGAAACAGATGACTTTTAAGGGGCCTGAAAGCCAACAGCCAGTGAGCCTGACATTGCCTAGGATGATGGGTACCTCTGCTCAACCAGAGCCTACTGTCCCCACAGTGTCCTCAGCCTGGGGGGGCTGTGTGGAGGTGGACTCAGAGACCGAGGCAGTGTATGGGATGACTTTCAAAATTCTGTGCATCTCCTGCAAGCGCCGCAGTGAGACCAATGCAGAGACCTTCACAGAGTGGACCTTCCGCCAGAAGGGCACTGAGGAGTTTGTGAAGGTGTGTGAGTGCCTGGCACGGGCCTGGGAGGGCAGGTGTCTGTGTGTCGGAATTGCTGAGGCTGGATCTCAGGGTGGGGGGGTTGTTTGTTTGTTGTTAGTAATATGCTGTGATTGATGACCTGGATTCAAATTCTGGCTCCACCACTGACCAGCTGGTGACCTTAGGTAAGTCACTGGGCCTCACTGAGCCCCCGTTTCCTCCTTTGTAAAGACGTGGGTGGCAGTAGTCTGTAGCTCATAGGTGAGTGTTGAATGAGTTGATGCACCTGCCACAGGGTTGGCAGAAAATAAAAGTCACTAGAATTATTTGGCACCAGCAAAAATGTCTTGGATTGTCATCAAGGAGGAAAAGCAGAACTTTTTTTTCTATTTCCTTTATACAGTGTGTATTTTGAATTACACATGGGGGGAATGCACTGTAAACATTTATGAACTGCTGGAGAATTGGGGTTTACAGCAGCTGGGCTCAGGCTGCCCTTTCCCTGCCTGAGGAGTGTGTCTGGTGGCTGGGGAAGAATTGCAGAGAATGAGGACCGGGAAGGCCGAGTGGGGCCTAGGAGGATGACAGGAACGTGTATGTGTGAGGATGTGTGTGTCTCAAGGCCAGAGGCAAAACAAAACCGGGGGGAGGGGGCATGCTCCCAACCTCCCTGTTCCCTCCTGCCTGAAGTCAAGGTGCCTGAGTCCATGTGTGTGCCATCTGTGTCTATGTGTGTCAGGGTAGGGGACAGAGTTGGGGGCAGGTGGGGGAAGACAGGCCCAGGCAATGACTTCACACAAACCCCTGCTGCCCCCAAGATCTTGCGCTACAAGAACGAGGTGCTGCAGCTGGAGGAGGATGAGCGCTTTGAGGGCCGTGTGGTGTGGAATGGCAGCCGGGGCACCAAGGACCTGCAGGACCTGTCCATCTTTATCACCAATGTCACCTACAACCACTCGGGTGACTACGAGTGCCACGTCTACCGCCTGCTCTTCTTCGAGAACTACGAGCACAACACCAGCGTCGTCAAAAAGATCCACCTTGAGGTGGTGGACAAAGGTGAGTCGGCCCTGTCTGCCCCTTTCCCTCTGTTGCCCACCAGTGAGCCAGATGGAGGGACAGATGGCAGGTAGGGGACAGGCTGGCTCCACGCCTGGGCCAGCCAACTGCCCACAGCAGCAGGGGGAGCAGCACCTCCCCCCCACTCCAGCTCTGGCCTCCATTACCCTTCAGGTCAAAGGAGACCTCTCCCCACAGGTGATCTGGGGGCAAAACCCAGCTCTATCACCTGTGCTGTGCAGCCTCCGGCAGGTGTCTTCCTGTCTCTGAGCCAAAGGGTTGTCCTGCAGGAGACCAGGATGATAATAGTATCTACCTCTCAGCGTGTTGTTTGGGCCATTTTATGTCACAGGAGGTTATGAGGATTGGGCACAATGCTGGATGTCAGCTGCTGGCACATACCCCGTACACAGCAGGGCCTCATGTGGAGGTGAGAGCGGTGGTGCTGACTATTGAGTAGCCTTAGCCCTCCGTCATGGCAAGGCAGGAGCTAGAAGTGTGTCACCTAGAGCAGAGCGCCTCAAATTCCACTGTGCTCTCCAGCCACTGGGGAGTCTTGTTAACCTGCAGAGTCTGACTCAGCAGATCTGGGCCCAGGAGTCATTTCTAACAAGCTCTCAGTGCTGCAGGTCTGGGGGCCACACTGTGAGCAGCAACGATCTAAAGCGTTTTTGAACAGTTTCATTATCTTGGCTTCAGCTGCCTTAGACCCCTTCCTGAGGGAGGTCTGCTCCTTCTCTGAGCCATCTTCTCATGGGCATAAATTGGAATATTCCAGGGCTCTGTGACCCGTTGGCTTAGAGAGTTGGGGAGATATCGCTGGCCTGGAGCCAGCAGAGAGCCATGGCAAGTAGGTCGCCTGGGGCCGCGGTGCACACATCATCATGGGCAACGTGCATTGCCCTTTCTTCCATGAGCCGGGTGCTGGCCTCAGTGCCTCACGTGGACTCCCTCATGGACTCCTCCCCCAGCCCTCTAGGGTAGGGGCTCTTCCTATCCCCACTTTACAGGCAAGGAAACTGAGGCTTAGGGAGGTAAGACTATGTGGCCAGGGTCATGTACTTGGGTCCTGGATTTGAACCCAGCCACACCTGGGTGACTGCTGTTTCTGTTCTTGGCATGATTCACCATACTCTGTTGCCAGCCAGAGCCTGTGGGTTTCTTTTCATAATTAGCATTTTTATGTTAGTTATGAAAGTGGCGTGGCAGAATGCAACTCAGGAGGCTATCTGAGCTACTCAGGCACATAGACAGCCCTGCCCGCATGAGTGGGGTAGAGCGGAGTCGCTGTCACAAAGGTACCCCCACACATGGGGCCTAACGACACCTGTGTCATTCCTCTCTCACAAATCGGTGCTGAGGAGAGGGGGTAGAGACTTCAGGACCGTTCAGTCACAGGGTTCTTTCCATCTTGTCACTCGGCCCTTGCTCAGGATGCCTTCCTCCTGAGGTGGGAGCTCAGGCCCGCCGGTGACCCAGGAGAGCGTCTCTCCTTTTAACATGGTCTACCAATTCTACTCCCTCCCAGAGCCTGTGTTTTTGACAGTATTCACCATCACATGGAGCAGTTGATGTTGTCTTTCTGTGTTTTCAGCATTATCCACCATACTCGAGTGTTTTTTATCTGCCACGTTATAGTACTGCCTTTTTAACATTACCCACTGTAGTGTAGCATTTTATATTATACTATATACTATACAGTGTTTGTATCATATGCCATCATACTAGAGTATTTTTAATGTTCTCCAACATGCTATCATATTTTTATCATTACCCACCATGTGATGCTATAGTATTTAAAAATATTATTGATGATATTGTAGTATTTTTTGATATTGCTTGCTATACTGTGATAGGTTCATCATCACCCATGATGCCATGGTATTTTTAACATGACTCATCACACTATGGTATGTTTTCATTGCCCACAGTATTATTGTACTGTTAGCATTGCCTGCCATACCACTTTTTTTATTATTTCCCGGTATCTTACTGCAGTTGTGGCATTGCTCATCAGCCTAACTTGCCTCCTGGTAATGACCTATAAGGAATGAACCGGGTCATTTCCAAAGGAGGGAGCAATGGGTCTTTTTGGGGAGAACTTCACTGACCTGGGAGAGGTGTAGAAGATGGTAGGAGGCAGATGGGGTTGCCTGCCCGAGGTGGGGGCAGGCAGACAGGGACAGGAGGGGACAAGAATTCTATTTTGGATATGCACAGTATGAGTGGAAAACACCTTGAGTTGCAGCAGTGTCTGAGGTTGGTGAGAAATCCAGGCTGTAAAGGTGCTGCAGCCTATGTGGGCAGGGCAGGGGAAGGTCTTAGAAGGCTTTGAGTTTTCTGAAGAAATCAAAGGTCTCCCCAGAGAAGGTGCCTCTAATCCTCTGTGTGACCCCATGAGAAGCCCCCCCTCTGCCTCAGCTCCCCATCTGTAAAGCGGGGGTAACAACAGTCCCACCTCCCAAGATGTCTGCGTGCACCGATGGAGACTGCACTTGATAAACGGCAGCTATTACCAACTCTCTTTGGCTGTGGAAGGTTTGCAGAGCAAATAGGAGCTTGAATGGACCCTGCAGTCAGTTACACTTGGGGTTGAATCCTGGCTCCTTGAGTCCAATCCTCGCTGTGCATCCTTGGCCCAGCACCTCTCCCTCTGTGGACCTCAGTGTTGTTGTCTGGAAATTGGGCTACAGACCCATGCCCATCACTGTCTTGATCTGACTGGGAGAGCAGGAGACACCACATTACCTAAATCCATTTGGGCATTGAGTTCCAGGAGCAGGGGCAAGAATTCTGATGACTGAAATTTATCCAACATATACCCAACTCAGTGTGGCTCCTGAGGCCAGTTGATGTAGAAAGCCGGGACAAACCCTATCCTTGAGGCTGTTTCCAGGAGTCAGGGAGATGCTCAGATAAAGAACGTAGCAGAGTCTGACTGAGAGCAGGCACCCACTGCGTGAGATGCATTAATAATGTTTGTTGAATGACCAAACAAACAAAAGAATGAATGAATGAATGAGGTGTGGAACCCTATTCCGGCTTTTCCTGCAGGGAAGTGAGGTGGGGGTGGGGGAGCCTCCAGCCCTGTGCCCTCGCTCACTCTAGTCCAGAAAGTATCCGTGCCATCTGCCCAGCGTGGTGCAGTGAAAAGTGCCCTGCTCACAGGGGAGGAAGACCACATGAGGACACCAGGGAAAATGAGATCCCAGCCATCCAGGAGGGGGCCAGGGATGTGGGATAGACACCTGCAACATTTAGCTGACGACACCGAAATGGCCTTTGACTCTGGTCCCCTGGCTGAAATGCTCCCGTTACAGTTTAAATTTAGGCTTAGTGAAAGGAAGAAGGCAAGGACAAGGGCCAGTGCTGCGGAAAGGATGTGGAGTTTCCGGAAAATGGCCAACACTTCGGCAGTGCTGGCTGCGTGTTGATCCAAGCACGATATGGATGTGAACTCATCTCCTCTTCCCAGCAACCCTGTGGGAGGGTGTGAGGATGGTTGTCCCCACTCTGCAGAATGGAGAATTGAGGTTCAGAGAGGTGGAGTCATTTTCCTAAGGTCACTCAGCTAGTAAGAGGCAGAGCCAAGATTTGAATGGAGTCTGGCCCCGGAGCCCCCGCCCTTAACCGTGATGCTATACAGCCCCAGTTACAATGGTAATAATTGTATTAATAATAGCGAACTTTTATTGAGTGCTAGTTATAGGTCAAGCACTAATCTAAGAAGTTTTAAAGTTTATTTAGTTCTCATGACATCCCCATGAAGGAGGTATTGTGATTATCAACTTTCTATAGTTGGAAAAATGGAGATCCAGAGAGGTTGAGTCACTTGCCCAAGGTCATGCAGCTGGCAAGTGTCAGAGCCAGGATTTGAACCTGAGCCTTCTGGTTGCAGAGTTACAGCTTTTGGGCACTGTGCCCAACAGCCTCCTGAATGACACACATGTGCCCTCAAGTTACACAGGGAGGCAGGTGGAGCCCCCCCCCCCCCCCCCCCC